TTCAGCCCCTTGGTGCAAGAGTGGAATGGGGTGGGGGAGAAAATAGGCTGGAAGGTCTTACTGAGAATACTCAGAGGCTATGGGGGAGGGGGGTCTCTGGGTTGGGGGCAGGGAGGCCTGGGCCCACTCCCCTCCCTTCACTCCCCCATTCCCCAGCCCCCCAGCCAACTGGCCAGGATTTCCAAAGAGACAGAGCTAAGACAAAGGGAAGTCGGGCTGGGAGGGAATTCTTTCCAGATGTGAGTGTTTGCGGTTTGGCAGCTCAGGGCCTGAGCTCAGCCCCAGCACCCCAACCCTGGCTGAGGGAGGTGGGTAGAGGGTCCGAGCAGGGCGCGGACTTGCTGGGGCTGGAGTGTCAGTCCCTGGCAATCCTGATACCCTAGGGGAGCAGCAGGTGTGGGGGTGCTGGGGAAGGGGGCTGGGGGATGCTGAGGTTCTGGAAGGAGGTGAGAGGGCTAGGGGAACCAGGAGAGGGGGCAACGAATATTGGATGGGGGAGCCTAGGGGCAAGGGGCAGGGCCTAGGGCCCTGGATCCCGGCAAGGGGAGCAGCTTCAGCCAGCATCAGCCAGTCAGTCTCTAACAACTGGCTTTAATTTCCCGCTGGGATCAATAAGGAGAAGGAATTTCCCAGTGTCGCTGGCCTTTTAATTATGACCAAATCTGCAGCAGATCTGCCCCGGGGCGACCCCTTCCCCCTTTCTAGGAACCTTGGTCAGACCCCTCTTGGGGCTCCCCTAGGAATTTGGAGACTAGAGTTGGGGGAGGTGCAAAGTCTAAGAAAAGCTGGGAGACAGGCAGGGTGGGGGTGGAGTGGGGAGGAAGTGAAGTGGAGGGTTAGGAAAGGAACATTCTGGGGCTTTGTTCCATTGCAGTGTGGCTAAGAGAAAAGTGGCCAGTTTTGCATCAGAAGGAATGGAGGTGGGTTGGAGTACAAGTGTGTGTCAGGATCCAGAGGGAAGAGACACCCCCATCCCTCTCTGTCACTCCCGGTTGGGGAGGAGGGAGCACCACCTCCAGGGACTGGACACTGGGGAGGAAAGGGTTGACAGCCAGCGGCAGGGAAGAGTGGGAGAGGCAGAAGCCCCACCGTCACCCCCAACCAGGACCAAGGAGGTTCTCTGGCCAAAGCCAGCACTTGTGGAAGAGCCTCACCCAGAGCAGTGTTATTGCATCTGCTGGGTCAGAGGATTTTGGCTGGAAGTCCTGGAGCAGTGGAACCCAGGTGGGGCTGGACACCTGGGTCTCTGCCACTCCACAAAGGGACAGCAGAGAAGGCAGGAATTCTACAGAAGGCAGGGAGGCCTGAGAACAGAAGAGACGGCTTGGGAGCTGCTGGGGCAAGACAGTTGTGTCTCCCGGTCACTGTACACAGGGGATGTTGCATTCTTGTCTGTCCCCCTGGGTTCAGGGACCCAGGTGCTTTCCAATCTGGCAAGACCAGGCTCCAATTCACCCCAAATGAAGTTGCAGCAGATGGATAAGAATCAGACCAAGGGAACCAGCAGTTAGCATAATGGCTATGTCGCTGGACTCCCACGTAGTCAACCGCAGTTTGCGTCCCAGACCCAGTGGTTTAAAACTCACGCCGGGCGCGTGTCCGTGCGTGTCCAAGATCCCGAGAGGAGAATGGAGGAGAAGGGATTGCGGCGTGGCCATCATCCCTGGAGGGTGATTTCTCGCTTTCTGTCTGTCTCTGTCTGTCTGGCGAGCACACGCGCCCTATAGCAAAAACCTCTCAAAAATAAAAAAGAATCAGACCAAAACAGAACTTCCAGCAAACAGAAGTGCGGAGGAAAGGGGTAGCTGGACCCATGGGCAGGGGATGACAGTGACCTCTGGGGCCAGGCCAAGGGAGGCCGGTATGGCCTAGGAAGGCCGGCCAGGACTGGGAGAAAGGGGCTTCCTGTGACAGGAGAGCTCGCAGTTAGACAGGAGTGGGACTGCCCAGCACCCAGGCGGCGCCTCTGTTGTTCTTGGCGCTGCCACCTCCTGCCCAGCTCCAGCTGCCAACGCGCTCCTCAGGGCTGGGCTGGGCTGAGCCCAGGGAGGGGTGGGGATGCACTGGCTGAGGACTTGCCAGCACTGAGTCTCAGTCCCCGGTCAGGGAAGTCAGTCTGTGCCGCGACCCCGCAGTTACCCCGCAGTTAAACTTCCAACTTTTATGGTCCCCACCGGGCACTAACCCCTTAACCCCTTAACCCCCTGCAGCCCAGGGCAGGGGACAAGTTTGTTGGGCATGCTGATGCCTGTGCTTGAGGGGCACCTGGGGAAGGGGTGGCCCTGGCTGAAATGTGCCTCTCAGTCTGGACTCAGTCCCTGCCACTGTCGCCAGGAATGCAGGACCTAGGGCCGCCTCCTAGGTACCTCCTCTCCCACCCTCAGAAAATGGGAAATGGAGGGAGAGCAGGGGGCCCAGGCATTCACTCCCACCCCACCCCTGAGATGGTCTGGAGTTTCTGGAGGAAGAAAGAAGAGGTGGGGGTTGGCTGCAGGCTTGGGCAGGCACTGGGCCAGACAGCAAGATTCCGGGATGGAAGAGGAAAGGGGCGGGAGGAGGGCAAGGTCCCAGAGAAGGCAGGACTGACAGCCGTGGTCTGGGCTTGGAAGCTCTGGACAGGGACGGAAAGAAGGTCCTGGGCCAGCTGTCCCTTGGAGGCAGGGCAGGAGAGGCTGAAGGGTCAGCCTCAGGAAGGATCAGCAACTGCTCCCCAAGACTTCTTTCCTCTTCTCTCAAACCCCCAAATGTAATTGTTTCCAGACTAA